GTAATATAGAGTAATAAAAATAATTATTACAAAATTCTTTGTTAATAAGTTTAATTAATAAAATGATCAAAAACAAAGTTCATATGCTAATGACAGTTTATGTTGTCACTAAGGTCGAAATTATATGTTCAGAAAAAATTCTAAATTCAAAGAGTTCTTGAAAAATAAAAAATTCTAAAAGTTCAAAAGATTTAACTATTCAGAAAGTTCTCATAGTTCTGATTCTTGAAATTCTGATAGTTCAAAAAGTTCCAAAATGATGGTATTTTCTAAAGCCTTCTCCATATTAATCTCACGAGTTTGCTGATTTTCAGTAAAGTACACTAATATAACATTGTGGATCCTGATTGTGGCTCTCTGATTGAGCGATATTCCCAATCCAAAGAAAATTCCTGAATGTGTTTAAGGAGCTATGCCACTCACAAATCCGTTGTTTCCCAGGAAGCTGTTGCGCTGTATTTGCAGTAAGATTCTTCTCAAGGATGATGCTGCCATTGAGATGGTTGGAAGTATAGTTTCAGGCTCCAAAACCATATTGATATTCCAGCCGAATTGTTTCTACATATACAAAGCGAAGCGTTATCAAGTTTTTCTCTCAAAAATGACATTGTCTTTACAGAATTACCCTACCTATTCAATATCTGTATACCAGTGTCTGAATAATTATTGTTGTTTAAGATAAAGAAAAGTGAAAGAAAAATGATAGTGACAAGATGCAATTGGACAATTTCTTTATTTTTTTTTATTTTTCTATTTCTTTTTTTTTCTTTTTTTCTTTTATTTATTAATATATATATATCTTCTTTTTCTTTAAAGCGTATAAAAGATTATATGTTAGATATTCTGATGACAATATTTTCAATTCAGATTTTATTCGTTTATCCTAATTTTATTTTAATTTCTATGTTTTTATAAAATTCGATAAATAGTTAATATCATTAAATAATATTTCAATTTTAATATTTCAAATATTAATTAATATAACCAACATAACATAAATTAATAAATAAAATACAATAAAATATTATTATTGTATTCACAAATATAATATAATAAATATCATGTATTCATTATGTAAAAATCTACATCAATATACAAGCAGTAACTCATATAGATTCGGAACTTTCGTGATTAACTACGATCACGAGAATGATTAAAAGAATAAAAATGCATACGACTCACTATTAAATGGAAAAAATCATACATTGTCATCGCTAACTCATGGAGAATGTAGAAGAAAGTGAAAAAAAATAAAAAATAATCAAATCAAATACAGAAATAAATCTGTAAAAAAAAAAAAAAAAAAATGAAAAATCATAATTTAAAACTAGATATATATACATATAATGATTATTTAAAAAAAAATTAAAATAAGAAAAATGAAACTCTAAGTTGATGGAAAATATTTAATTTAGATAATTTAATAAAGATAATTATCTCTTCGCGTAATCAATAATTGCATTAATTCTAATAATTCTAATAATTCTAATATTTGAAACATAATTAAAAATATTCGAAATAAGAATGTAATTTATTTAATCTTTTCTACTTTTATTATAATATTTTTAATAATTCATCTATATTTATCATGAGTTACTAACTTATCAAGTAGATATGTATTGTTACAATAAAAGATAATAATGAAGAAAATAAAAATATATATATTTTCCATATAAAAAATCAAATGTTACTGTTTATCTGATTAATCATTGTGTTGAATGATTGTTAAAATGATTATTCATATTAAAATTTTTTTTTTCCTTTTAAATTAATAACTTACAGAAAAAATAATACAATTTTTAGAATAAATATATAAAATTTTTTTGAAAATGTATTAATTTTATTTTAGAAATTGATAATATCTATTTCACGAATAAATTTAATAATGTAATAGATACAAAAAATTAATAAATATAAAAAATTGAATAAATTATTCTTTTTGAAAGAATTAATTATAATAATACGTAATAAATAATATTAAAAATTATTGAATAAATTAAATAACAATATATAGGAAAAGTAAAATAATCGGGAAATATAATAAAAAGAAATTACAATATAGATTAATCACCTGAAGCGAAACATCCAAAGACACGATTTTTGACGGAAGAATGACATCTCGCGCTGTGATTTTGATTATCGAATTGGATTAAGAGGAAGAAAATATGCTTGAAGTTCGGCAACAAATCGAAGTATGTCGAACGACGTACAGTCATGAATCATCGATTATCCAAAAACAAAATTTTTTCTACTTTGAACGTAATATAAAAATAAATATAAAAACGATACATTCTATTTTGTAAACAGACAGAATTATTATAAGAAATATTCTCAGTTTTGAATCGAATGCTAAATAGACATATTTAATATATGAGAATATGTATAAAATTGATTCATCTCGTCTAATTACTTTTATTTTTTAATTACTTTATAAATGATTAAAAAGCAAGAAAAACTTATAATAATTACTATCTTCTATTAAAGCAAATCAAATCTTAGCATACTTGCACGAAAGTCGCGCATAACCTATTACAAATTTGAAGTCATTCTATTAATTATCTAATCTCCATTATTTAATTATTTAATTAAATAATCTGTACAAATATAATAATTTTACATTAAATAATGTTAAAATAAAACAATAACTAAATCCAAATCCGACTTCGAATATTTTGTATGTATTAGTATGGATTATTGGTAACAGAAAATCAATTTAATTTCGATATAATAATATTTGTAAAAAATGATTCAATAATATATTAATATAAAAAAAAACACTAATAATTTACAAATTAAACAATTAAATTTAATAAATATCAAATTCTACAAATTTCTATATATCTATATCGATGTAATGCAATTCTCTCTATGATTTTTGACAATAGACTAATGTCATATGCATTGATTCGTCTAAATTGTGAACTTTAGCAGTTTCCTGAGTGACATGGTTTGTTCTAAACTTAAATCGCACGAAAAAATAACTCAAATAATAATAATAATGAATAATTTAATAATTATATAAAACTGAATAAAAATTATTATATATTAAAAAAATATAAGAATTTTTTTAATAGGCTTTAATATAGCAAAAATTAGAAATTTCATTTCATCATATCGTAATAATTTTCGATTGGTTCGATTTTAATTTATGATTATAATTATTTTTAATATTAATAAATAACACTTAAAATATTTTAATATAACATAAAAATTAAAGAAATAATGTAAAATTAGATTAAATTTGTATTTGTAATGCATAGAAATATATTAAATTTTAAATATATTATTGTAATATATATAAATTAATAATAAAAATCTAACAATAATTAAATTGAATTATAATAGAAAACTTATTTTTCGTAATATGAATACATAAAATCCATTCAAATACAATCATTGTTATCTTACGTTGCATTACGATTATAGAGAAAAAAGATCATGATTTAAGAGTCACTTTCAAAGATCAAAGTTTTGTAAGAGATACATCAATTCAATTTTTATCTTTTTTCTAATTTTAATTCTTAATTTACTTTAATTTTTAACATTTAATTTTATTTCATTTCTAACTTTCAATTTTCAATTTATTGATTAACTTTTTATTCTTAA